ATTTGCATTTTGAATTCAAATTTGCATGTATTATTATTGGGAATCAATTTTGACCGAAAAAGTGGAAAGACACGAAAAAGCATTAGCGATTTTCTGTTTGTGATATCAAAATTCTCAAAGTAATGTATTGATATCTGCATATAATACATTCGGCTTAATGGATAATGGGAGTTTTTGTGTGTATGATGTAGAAAAAACACTCACCAACAATCCCTTTTTACCACTGGTGATTTCTAAATCGTATAAGCGAAATCTTAATGGTTAAAACTTAAGACGCTTAAGTAACTCAAAAACGCAACAGTATCTTTGCAACAAAATATATTTCTAAAACTTCAAAATTTATAGATTTTTATTATAATCAAATTTTTTTTGTTAAAAAATCGATCAGAATGGGTTAGTTTAGAAAACTTTCAAAAAAGGAAGAAAATTATCGTAATGTTCATTTTCTTTTTTTGAAATGTAATAATGACTAAATAAGATATTTCTTTTGCACACACGTGCTGGAAAATAGTTTGATCCTTTTAATGCGACGTATGACAATTTAATTGGCAATTTCTAAAGCCCTTAACATAAAAAGAACTATTAAAAACGACAACAACAACAAAATAAAAAAAACAACAACAAAAGAATATTCGTTTCAGACTAGAGCATTACAGTATACATGTATCATTTTTAAAAAAGCATCGTAAATCTTAAATGTGTAATTAAACAACATGTATTAATATTTGAAACTTTACATTATCTATGTAGGGGTTAATGAGATTTGACACTTTTTAATAATGCAAATTAATTTCTCGGATGCTCATAGCTTATATAATATTCTAATACGTATTACAACAATTGATGACGTCAACAATTTATGATTAGTATGCTTATTGTAAGCAACAAACAGGTGGGCACCCGTCTTTGTCAAACATTTACATTTTCCAGTATTTTTAAAAGTCATTTATCAATAATAATAATCTCAATAATGGTAATTTATTAAATATATGCATATAATTTTGACGTATAAATTTTTTTGTATTGTATACATATTTATATTGTCATTGCTATCTTAATAATAATTGTAAATAGACAAGCCGCTTTTTCCAAAAGAACTTGTTGTTTATTATACTAAATATATTTCTTTTGTAATTTGTTTATTTGAAAATAAACTTAAACTAGAAAAAATATTTCATGAAAATAATCTACGTCTGCTTCTTGATTTTGTTTTAATAAGCGCTTCAAATTTTCACTGACGTAGTAAACTGATGACGTCATTCCAAATAATTTGCATACAACGAAAATTAAAGAAAAAAATGTTTATCAATCAATTGATTAGACATTGTCGTATAGTGAAATGATCTAAACATATGAATTCTGTTCTCACTGAAAAATTCTTTATGCAACTTGCAATAACTTCGCAAATTTCCGTCAGAAAATTACGCTGTCTCGCAAATGATACAGTGTTTTGAAGAATGTAGACCAAACAAAAAATTCGCATTACTTTTATCTTATTTCCTTATTTTTTGTTGTAGTTTTAAAAGGTAAATAAAACAAACCATGCAATATTATAAATTCGTAAATTGATATATACTCTCGGCTAGCATCCCGTATATGTAGACATATTTGTTTCATAATCTTTCATAAACTTGTACATATTTAGCAATTTGTTATTCCTTTGGCCCAACCAAACTGTGTAATAATATTCTACATATTCATATGCTGCTTAGATATTTTGGTCGTCTTTGAAACCAAGATGTGTTGTCAGTTTATGTCACGATCGTGCATCACACCTCGTGAGCAGAGAATGTTCAAGTACACATTTGACATATCATGACATATAAGTCTTCATCAAATAACATGTTCATAAATTAATACTGCTTTAACTTAACTGTCTAGAATTTGGAATAAAATACGATTCAAGACAGTACTGATTTGTTTTCGAATCGATATACATGTATACTATAATCTCTTTTAGAGACATCCATTGACATGGAGGTACATGTATAATTGAAACTAAACATAAAGTCGACGTCAGTTTCACCCTGGTTAACCCCCGACCTTTATATACCTGACATGTTTGACACTGTGCAACAAAACACACAGAAACTTCAACAATGAAACCTTTTTGCCACCGCTCAAACTCGATTACAATCAAAACCGTATCACTTTCCAGCTTCAGTCCGTTCCACGAGATTTTACGTTGAAATACGAGATGTGTTTTCATACATTTATTTCCCTGTGTACCATTTACTGCTAATAAACAACATAACTATTACCTTTTATCACCCTCTTGAGTGTAAAACATGGCAGTCGTGTTATTGTTTCGTTCACCTACGGAGCACAATAAACGGGTGGCCACCGCCATTAATCACGTGACGAATATAGACCGGGTTACAGTAGGGGTGGTTCGGAACAACGGCTGTAATGTCAAAGAAAACAATACCAGTCGTGATGCATGCAGGTGTTAGAATTTTAATTCTCTTCACGCTATTTATCAAATCTCGGTACACAGTTATTATTTTGTAGTTAGATTTTTTTAGATATTTCGATACAATAACAACTTGGCAACATTATACGGAGAGAGTTTATTTTTTCTAGTTAACTTTGCTTCCGTTTACAAGCAACCTTATTTACTTCAAAGAGATTAATTTCTCACCGTCATAAATCTTTAACAGAAGCTGTTTAGATTCAAAATATAAAACATTATCGATCTCTATTGAAGTTATAATTCAAAACCTTTAACATTTATAAAATGTACATGTATGTATTTTCTTATGAAAACGTCTACATTAAATCAATATTTCGTTACAAAAATGTAAAAACTTTGAATGAAATAACCAAGCGTCAAAATGTTAACCCGAAAGTGAATGTTCCTAATAATTTCATCTAAACTTCTTTAAAGATACTGTGTTTGTTTTTGTTTGTTTTGGGTTTTACTTCACATCGACACATTATAGGTCATATCGCGACGTTCCAGCTTTACTGGTGGAGGAAGACCTCAGGTGCCCTTCCGTGCATTATTTCAGGCACGAACGGGCACCTGAGTAGAACCAGCGACGTTCCGTAAGCTAGCTGGATAGCTTCCTCACATGAAAGAATCCAAAGTCCCTGTCGGGATTCGAACCCACGGTGGTGAGGGGCAAGTGGTTTGAAGTCAACGACCTTAACCACTCGGCCACGGACGCCCCAAAGATACTGTGAAAATTAGATTAAAAGAAAAGGAAATTATACATTCATCAGTATCTTGATAATTAGATATCAATCACATAATCACATGCAAGTAATGCAAATAATGTTTTCCTGTTTATATTTTACAATGATTCAAAAATTATTTTTTAAGAAATTCTTTCAGTTATGAAACCGTAATGTTTTCCTTCATCGTGAAAATGCATAATGTTATACTTTTGTTTTCTTTTTCTTTTTTACTAAAGCCTGATTTATAAATTGATTGACACGGAAGAAATCTAAAATTACTATTTTTAATGAAATGAAATTCAATTTTATATACACAGTTGATTGTTTTTTCTATGGAGATAGAGAGTTTCTTCTATCAGCCTCAGCTTTTCTGTGAAAAATTACATGTATGGCAACTTTAATTGTTACAATTCAAACCACGGCTCAGGCAAGTACAACAGTCGATTTCAAACGTATGCAAATTGGTCACGGACTGCGTATCGCATTGACCGCAGAGAAATCCAATATGTTTGAAACACCGCGATTTGTCAAAGACAATCAAAGTGGTAATAAAATTTGCATAATTCGCTGAATTTAGAATACGTTACTTCTCAACTCAATTGCTTGTAACATGATAGTGAAAACAAATGAATTAATTAACGTTGATTATATAGACAGTGCCCGTGCGCCCTTCAGGGGACGGTCGCAGTATCACTATTCACATCCGGGCTTTTATCGCTTTGCCCCGCCCATGGTTTCTGAATTTGACACACTCTAGTCTTGATCAAATTTTGTGAAAAGTTATGATGGAATTTGATTTTATTGATCTCTTAAGTTGCCATCTGTAGTAGTTTTATGGTAATCGTGCAAAGAATAAAAACTGATCGTTTTTGAATTACAATAAATAAGAATAAAATTGTCAGCATATGATTTAATATCACCAACATAATCGTGCGATTTTTATCATATGTTTAAAAGGTTATAATGCGTGTATGCGTGGTTTTTATATATATTAAAGCTATTATTTGTATAAAGAATATATCATAGTTAAACACCTGTTACTTTCACATTATATAACATTTGCTATGATGCAGATTTTATTTATTTAATGATGTTTACTTTTGAATATTATCAGATCTTTCACAGATTCCCACAAATGTTTCTCATGTAATTATATGTGTTTTTTTCTATTATAAATATCTACAAAATCTATCAAAAAAAGGAAGAATTTGATATCTAATGTCACTTTATTAAATACATGTGTGTTGAAATTAGACCCTTGTAAAAAATAATTTAAATATTTTAATGGGTATTGACTTTATGACGAAACACGTGCTAAAGAAAAACTGTTACTTATAATAGAAAGATGAAAACTTAAATAACAAAATGTCAGAACCTCTCTTTTCGCGTGCGTTGATCTCCGTTCGGTACAAGAATTTCAGACCCATATTTGATGATTGTTTTTATCTAATAACAAATGCTACATTACAACATATGTGCTGGTCTTGTTGTAAAATAATTATACTTTTAATTATCAACTATATTGCTCATATTTTTTCTGAATTTAATTTTGTTATTATTAAAATGAATTATGTTTTTTCTCATATTTCATTGATTTCTTTCTTTCTTCATTGTAGATTGTTTTTGTTTAGTTACACAATTATTTCATTGTAAATGTTTTACATAGAAACTACTTTTTTGTGATTATTCAAATGTAATATTTTGGAACAAAATTAATAAAGATCATTATAAATTCTATGAAATACATATATTTTATATTTATATATTTTCTAAGATAAAAATTGTTACACATATATAATTAAGAATATTATTTCCAGATTAAAAATGTAGATGGGATGAAAGCCAGACACGATTCAGGTCACGAATTATCGCCTTAGAATCAGTGAAGACTGAAGTTTATGATAACTGGTAAGATATCTTATCAATAAATAATTTTAAACAATCACTGTACCAAATGAAAAAAATATCTTATATAACTAAATGTACTTGAAAAATGTTTTGATATTTGGAACGTCATATAGAATAGCTCCGCCCACAAGTAAATGTATGTGTTAGCAACAGTACTGACGTATTTCTGGGTGAAACGTCACAACGGATGTTTGTAAGTAATCTGTAGCAGAATTTGACCATAAATAGACTTACAATAATAACTCCTCTCAAGGAACGAAATAACAGAGATTATCTCTATACAATAAATTCTTGTTAAGCCCGCAAAATTGGACTGATTTCCCAAAGCTTTAAACTAAATTTTGAAGGTGCTATAAAGCAATTACAGAATTTGCATATAGATTAGAGAGCGTTCCTTTGCCCCGTAGTCGTCTGCTATATGTTTGCTATTGTTTTATTGATTGGTAAACACTAGCGTATCATGCAGCAGAAGGTATGAACCAATAAGAGAAACAACATGGTCCCATCATCAATATGGAAATCGAGTTTGTCGTCTGTATATACTGTAACATAGAATCTAAATTAATAAATACATCTAACATACACTGTAACTGAAAGTACTTAAAATATATTACCATATAATTTTAGAGAAATCATAGTTAAGTCTTTTACGACAATACTATACACGTTGAACGCTCTTAAACATAATAAAAATATACTAATAATTACCCGGTGAAATTAAATTCGAAAGCAATGCTTAAATATAATTATGAACATTAATAAAATATCAACTGAGATTTTAATGAAATAAAGCTATAAATGTGTCGGCCATTATAGCAGCTTCGGATAAAAACAAATAAAAAAAAGAACAACAACATCCTGAAAAAAATCAGAAAATTAATGTGTCATTCCGTTTTAAAAATAAATGCGTCTTTTTAAACTTAAAAAAATAAAATGTCTGTCTTGGTATCTAAGTGACTCACTCACATCCAGATTGGAAAGAAAAAAGTCTTCCCTCTACAATTATCGAAAATAAATTTGTGTGGAAAACGAAGCATCTAAATTTAACCGAACCACCCTATAATTTCCTCTAATCGTATATGAATAGGGATCCGTCAAATCAACGTTGGAGAAAATTAATTTAACGCCGTGCGTGACAGCTGCGTAGACTGTAGCCCTGAAACGGTAGGCCATGATGCCCGTCTTAAATATAATGTCTTAATACAAAATATTGTCAGGGCCTCAGATAGAACGCCTCAATATAAAATATTAACAGAGCGTTAGTAAAATAAAACAAAATTTTTAATTCTTTTCTAATATTTTATTCAATGCTTAATTCATACATTTTTTTCTTCAGTCGAAAAAGTAAGAAACTATGTGACTTGTTGTGTTAGTTTTAAGGTATGATAAAATATTTCATTTAATGTTAGCATATGTATTTAAAACAGGATAATAAAACATGTACATAATTATAAAATTTAAAACTCCAAAATATTCATATGAAAATTTTAATATTTAATAATTAAATAAATGTCTCATTTAAAACAGAGTTTTTATTATCTCTTTTTCTCTCTAAAATTACAGAAAAATATACTTCAATAAAAAAAAATCCGCACTGCCAGAATATATCTATTTTAAATTATCTAGCAAAAAATTAAACTTCAGCATATAAGCCTGTTTTTTTTTTCTCTCCTGAAAATTCATTATACACTCCCCTGTTTTATCTTATTGAAAACAAAACGGTGATGTCTTATTTTTGATTTATTGACAATAAAAGAACAGACAAACAGACACTAATTTGTACCCCAGCATGTCTTGAACCAATATTTTCTTAAGAAAAAAAATGGAATTTTGTTGATTTATATTTTGTATAGGAGCATTTTTTCTAGAAAGAAATTGTAATCTGAATGTTTTGACATAGAGCTATAAAATATAGAAATCTTTTAGATTGTAAAATTTAACTAGAGGAATTTAGGAAATGACAGGTGACATTAAATCGTTGGAGAAAAAATCCTTCTAACAATCTAATGTTGATATTGTTGTATTTATATGAAGCTATAGTAAAAAATAATTATTTTGAATTATTTTAGATTTACCAATAAAAGAAACGAGCATTTTTAATATCGCGCACGCTTGAGTTGTATCTGTTTTATTTTCAAAGGAAGTTATTTTTAAAGTAGATTAATGGAATAAATAAGCAAAAAATATAAAATGCATTGTAAAACTTAAATATAAACATGTTATTTAGGTTTTGATAAATATAGCAATATTATTTATCTTAACTGTTACTCTTCACAAAAATATTTTTAATTATAAAAGAAAATGTAAGATTTAACATATATCATTTTTTGTTAAAGGGGATCCTACTAATCAATATCAGCAACATTTCAAATTCTTTGAGATATTTCAAACAATTCTATAAATATAATCGGAACTGTTGTGATCAAAGGGAGGTAAATCAGAAATCTCTTCCAAAATTACATTTTATCACTAAACGACATTTTCTTAATATCTGTATGGTTTTAATCGGGAATTTTCTTGTAGAGTTTTGTAAGAATAATTAATGTGTAAAACTTAATCTACAGTTCTGTTTGTTCTTGAACCTTGAATTGTTGAGAATTGATCTCTGCAAAAAGCATAAGTACGAGTCATGTAACACTGAAGGCGTTCATGTACTTGTTTTCTTATATTTATGAACATATATTTACAGTTGGCAAAAGTTACCAACATGAATAGATACCTCATTCAAACGAAATGTTTGTTATTGATGCTAATGTACAGTGGTTATATAATTATATAATTATTCTAGAATTATCTATTATTATAAGAATTACATAGAATTTTGTAGTCAAGTGACATACGAAGACGTAATGAACTTTACTTAGTTCGATAAATTTAAGATGCAAGAACAATGATATAAACAAAAAATAAATAAATAAATAAAAAACACACGAAAAAAACACCACACAGTGCATAGGTATTTTCTAAAGTAATTTAATGGCACGTCAAATAAGTTCATTGAGTATGAAAAAACAAACACATATGGACATAAAAGTGTGTTACATACACATATACATGTATGGTTATTGGCAACAAGGCTTCCATCCAAAAAATACGTCAGAGATGTTCTCGAAAATCTGGTGAAAGTTAATGTGTCTATTTCAATTTTCGATAAAACCCATTAAGAGACTACCGAATAGCTAAAGTGCGTAACATTTCCTGTAAAATGATAAACCAGTAGATATTTTAGAACAATTGATTGACGCTTTTCGTTTCTAACCAAATAAACAGCAAAAACTCGTCAGACATGACACACGGCAATTGTTCTTTGATAGCCTAGAGCAGAGAAATGAATGGATACCGTGATATAAAAAGAATAGTGAATCGTAGACAATAATCTTCCAAAATTTGCATAAAATTGCCGAGCTTTTTCTAAGGTCAATGGTATAAAAATCGATATAAGACAAGACAATACGATCATGGATGTGAAAGAACTCCCGAAAATTATAGTTCTCATAACACTCGGAATCCGTCAACTGACAAACCATCGAAATAAAACGTTCCATTTCAAGTTTTAGATTGTTTCGCGTAAAGCGAAATTTCTCCGCATAATTAAATAATCCTTGCGCGTAATACGGTTTGTGTGACCGTAAAATAATACTTAAATCGCATTCTGACACTATTAGTGTTTTAAACCATCGAAAAGGCGTAATAAATCGCAACCATCCGTCACCCTGATAGAAAGCATGAACCCCAATTGTGATTGGTTAATTTAAAATAATTTCGGATAAAGACAATTTCGGAAACTCAAAGCCAGACATTCTGCCTCGTAAACAATTTCTACTTTATACTTAGTTCACACAAATCGTGTGATATGACAGAACTGGATGCTTTGCTGGTCGTTAAGTCTAAGAACAAGGCAGAAAAATGTCAGAAAAAGACCACAGCTAGAGCCAGATAAATCATTTGAGGCGATCTTAATGTGTTTTCATATTCAGAAAAAAAGTCCAAGTGGAGTTAGCAAACTATTCGGCTGACATAGTGTCCAAAACTCACATAAAATTTTGATTTATTTCCTTTTTAATTGTTATGTTTTATTACACGGCATCCCCTTTATACGTAGCATTTAATGTTTATTACATATTTTAATATGTTTCTATAAAGATACAGTCGCTATCAGTACTACTTAAAAGATGAATTTCAAAGATATAAAGTGACAATTAAACTACATTGAAAACACAATTTCCCTTGTTTTAATAGTTATAAAAACTGGAGAAAAATCTGGAAAAAACACTTTTTTCAAATTTTCTACTGCTTCATTACAGATTTATGATTTTGTAACCTTTCCATATGGTATCTTTCAGGCTTAATTGGAAGGATAAAACAAACTCTTAATTATGTAGTCATTTTGTTGAGTTTCATTGAAACACTTGTCAATTAAAAAATACGTAGGTAATATATTTTTTGATCAAAGCTATATATATATTTCTCTAAATAGACTTTTTATCGTTTAACACTTCACGGCAAATGATGTATGTAGATGTTTTAATTTTTATTAAAGGCACATTATGCCTAAGCAACAAATACATTTTTACTTCTTTAGAAAGGGCAAACATGAATTTTATATCGTTGATTTTAGAACGTGTTAGATACTTTTTACCAGAAGAAAGTTACGCTATATGCGAAATGCATTGTCATAAAAGTAGCAACATGTAAACAAAGTAGTACTTTGACTTTCATACAAAATGCTTAATCACTATAACTGTACTAATTTCCATAAAGCTACACAAGATTTAGATGGTTTTGGTAACTGGCCGATAGTCACTTTCAGGAAACTATGGAAGTACACAAAATAAGAAGCTTTTATGAGGAATAAAAGTAAATGCAATTATGATGCATCAAGGACGGTTAAACTAGATTTCAATAAAAAAGTGTAGGATTGCAAATGTATTAATTATAAATAAAGCTAGATTTTAAGACAATCAAAGAAGAGGATAAAAATGCATGACATAACTAACAAG